TCTTTTTTTAAAAAAAAAAAAAAAAAAAAAATATATATATATATATATATATATATATATATATAAACTTTAAGATGTTTTTCTTAAAAAACTAAAACAAACGTAACGTCCATATTACTAATCAATAATTCCATTAACTACTTTTGAAAATAAGACAAATTATTTTTTCACTTATGAACTTAAGCTATTCATGTTTTTTTAGATAAATAAGAGAATGGCTTGCGTGTAAAAACACGCATAGAGCATAGTTTATATGATATACATAATAAATATTTATATGATAAACACTTTTTCAACAAGCATTTAATTAAGTTATTTATCCGCACACGTTCTAAATTTAACTTTTGAAACTCGTATGCCAAGGTGCAAGAACTTTAGGTTCAAACAGGTTATCAAGTATAAGAAAGTTATTATTATTCTAAAGCTTATAACAAATATTAAAATAGTAAAGATATACTATTTTTTTTCAAGTGGGTTTAACCCAAAATAAAATTTGACATTTAGACACACATATGATATTCACTTTCTCCAAAATTAGTCAAGCTCATATGATTATCAAACTTGTGCCCATTTGTATTGAGCAGGGGTTAAGGATGTGATGATTTGATTCCATATATATATATATATAGTATTGATATGATCACTTGTATGACACTCTGGTAACTGTGTTCGATTGCTTTACCTGAACTTGAAGTTGACTAGACCAAAGCATATAAACCTAAAATATGCCTACATTTAACAAACTACATGAACTCTAAACATGGCTATGTAGTATAAATTTGGACATGACACAAGATATATACAGCAAAATAAAATATTATAAGACACGTAGACAATATATATATATATATATATATATATATAAAATATAATATACAAGCTCATATGATTATCAAACTTGTGCCCATTTGTATTGAGCAGGGGTTAAGGATGTGATGATTTGATTCCATATATATATATATATAGTATTGATATGATCACTTGTATGACACTCTGGTAACTGTGTTCGATTGCTTTACCTGAACTTGAAGTTGACTAGACCAAAGCATATAAACCTAAAATATGCCTACATTTAACAAACTACATGAACTCTAAACATGGCTATGTAGTATAAATTTGGACATGACACAAGATATATACAGCAAAATAAAATATTATAAGACACGTAGACAATATATATATATATATATATATATATATAAAATACAATATGAATAAATGGGTGTTGTTATTCATAAATTATCTCACATGGTTGACCCAGACAATACAGGGGGTTGTTATTCCCATATTCTAAATATCTAAGTTCACATCCTTACTTTTTTCTTTTTTTTAAAACAAAAACTGAAACACATTTCCTTTATCTACCTGTTCCTTTATGTACCTGTACCTTAACATAATAAATAATGAAAAGAGTTTTCGTCAATGGGTGAAAAGATTTGCTGTGTAGTGCGAGTGAGAGGGAGAAAAGGATGAAAAAGAAGTTTTACTGGGGAAGGAATAGGAAAATTAATTAAAGGAAAACATGAGGTAAAAAAATCTTTTCAAAAATTAAAAAAGAGCATCACGAGGTGTGAAATTAGAGAAAAGGGGTGTGTAAATAACAATACCCAACAATACTGTCCATACATGGTCCACAAGTTACAATATCTAAAGTCAAACATTCATTGACACGCCATAGACTTTTGTTTTTCGTTTTTTTCCCTTCAAAGCAAAGCTTAAAGAAGAAAAAATATCTTACAAAATCCCGTGTTTCAAATAATTTGTAACAATATAGCTTAAACAATCAATATATAACACAAGATCTAGTGCATATATAATAAGAAAAATATAACAATTAGGTCGTTGAATCCAAATGCATAATGGTACTGAGATTCATCGGGTTCATGTATTTGGTGTCTCCAATCATGAACGTCTCCACAATCAATCTGTTTGCTCTCTCACTTGGATGGAAGGGGTCCCAAAATGCATATAAATCCCTGTTTGGGCAGAGGTTAGACGCCGGAGTGCAAAGTCCAATCCCATTGTAAGGCCCTTGTCCACAGCATGCAACTTTTGATGTCACAAAGCCTGCATGCAATGTCAAAATGGTAACTAATACAATTTCATTTAAAATTGAAAATACTAGTGGAATGTACGAACACGTTATTAATTACTTGGCAACCATAAAATTAAAAGATACGGTACAACCTTATCTAGTCGAGTAAAAGCAAAAGAGAGATTGTACTACATACCGTAAGCTTGAGGGTTACTAATGAAATCCATATTGGATTGGAAGGCATTTGCTGAAATAAAGATATTGGAACCAATTTGAGAGTTGAGTTGATTAACCAATTGGACAAGTTGAGGATTGAACAAGTCAGAAGCCCGTTGCAGATCCGCTGCACACTCCCCGTTTCTGCTATGCTGTGCTAACTCTGCAGGCACGCAACCTAAAGGTCCCGTTCCAGTCACCAAAACTCGTCTTGCTCCCAATTCATAAAGCCTCTGCAATGCACACCTATTAATACTCAACGTACGTAAAATAACACATCTTGGCGACTAATCCTCCCTATTTTTGAAACACTCAACATTTCTCTCCATAACTCTCTTTTCGTCATCAACCACCCATCTCTTCTCTCTTTCTATCTGTATCATGCTTACACTACATCTAAAAGTGTCAGAATTTCTTTTTTCCTAATAATAATTCTACATTTATAGTTCGTTGGCCCACATGTTCCTTAATAGGTCACTGTTTGTAAACTTTATCATGCATTACAAAAAATAAAAAAAATCTGGGTCATGCATTCTGAAGGAAGCCTACAAATCGGTAGAATGAATGTTCAATGCCTTCAGCAACCCGTCACGTCGCGCCATAACTCAACTTGCTTCACACTCGCACGCGTACATCATATCATAAAATATTTAATTCATATTCACACACACACCCACTATATATATATATATATTGGTTCGCGATTTCTAGAGTTATGATTAATGTCAATAATTAATAAGAGGTTTCATTTTTAAATTCAAGATTCAAAATTATTAAGACTACCTAGGTAAAACACCTACTACTATATAACTTTGAAAAAGTGTATTGGCCAAGTCTGGTCCAGCACTTTTTTTTTTCGAGAAAATTTATCAACGTGTCCTCTATCTGACAGATGTATTAGAGCATCTTTAAAGGGGTTGCTTATAAGCAACCTCCTGTACTACATCACTGTCAAATCAGCTCTGACTCACTTTATGGGTTGCTTAAATTTTAGCAGAGTTGTTTCTCTAAAATTTAAGTAACCCATAAAGTGAGGCAGAACTGATTTAGTAACGATGTAACACAAGAAATTACTTATAAGCAACTTTAATTGCAGATGCTCTTTAAGAAATAACCCAAGAATCTCCGCGGCTACTACTACTATACTAGCTAGTAGCCTAGTACTACAAATGAATGCTGTCACTTACTACATGAACCTATTATCTGACAGAGGTATTAGATGCGCTGGTTTTAAAGAATATTATTACACTTTTAAAAATTATATTCTCAAGAATGATTATTGGTAAACTTATAAATGAAGGTGCATGTTTGGTGGGAGAGATTTATTTCTGTTGAAAACATTTTACTAAAATTCAAATAATAATTACCAAAAAAAAAAGTGTAGAAAAAGGAAGTTGGTACTCATTCGAAGATGACTATATCCAATATATAAAAAAAAACAACACATTCATTACTCATTCCTAACTATATGAATAAAGATTAAATAAAACATGAAAATGTTACTTTCTCAAAAATCAACAATGACTAAAAATATTAAAAATACATTTATCATGTGCATTACATACTTATACTAAAATACTAGTAATAAAATAAAAAGAAAATCCCCATGTAAAGTTTTTCTCTCATATTAAAGAGGAATATGGAAAATTTAAAGCAGCATTTTTTGGATATAGACTATTGCATATTAAATAGCATATGTAGTTGACAAAAAGAAAATAATTGAAGTTCAATGATGGGTGAACATGACTTATTGATCACAATCTATATATACATTGTTCAAATTATTATTCCTTGCCTAAGTTGTACCCTAATCTTTTCTGAATCGTTAATTGGTGATATGCATGACAAAGTTCGTACCATTAGCAAAAAGTAATGAGCCAAATTAAAAAGGGATAGTACTATAATAACAGCAAGAGAAAAGAAGTGAAGGATAGCAATGAATACCACAAGAATTTTGCGATACTCGGAAATAAGGTATACAACATAGTCTGGTAGTGCAAATTGGCGTGATCTTGCAGAGAATGGCACCAGGTAGTAGTTGTTAACAAAATCATTGCCACCTAAGGTTATGAGGACCAGTGCTTGGTTGATCAGTCGTTGAGTCTGCTCTACTCCAATTAGTGCACTCACCCTTTGTTGATACTGCTCAAAGTACTGTAATTGTCTGCTGATTCGGATTATGTTTATCTGCAAAGGTGGACATATATAGCATTTTAATGCTATCATTCAATACTAGACCGCTGCTAGTATCTATCAAACAGCTTAAAGGATTCATTGTTGGTCCTGCTCTTAATTAAATAGGAAAGTTTAAGATATATCACGAACATGCTTCAAAAAACTTCTTAATCAGTATTTATAAGAGAATAATATATATAAGATAATAAAATTAAAAAAATTAACTATATTTTTAGTCTCTAAATTATTGTTAATTCTTTTAGTTACTTAACAAATTTTATAGTTCCTGAAATTTTTTTATGCTAGGGACTGAATTGCTAAAATGTTCAAGAACTAAAAGTGAATATTGACAAAAGTTTAAAAATTATAAATAACAAAAAATTGTTCAGAAATTAAGAACAAAAATTTAAATATTAAAAATATGTTTAATTCTAAAATAAAAAAGTTTAAACTATTAAAGTTAGCCTAATTATAAAGAGATTGAAATAGTATTACAAAATCTCTCAAATCTTATTGGTGTCACTATAATTCTTATACATAAAAAAAAAATTATAAGTTAAAATTACTTTATATATCAAATAATATTTGTAAAGTCTCTCTCCTTTAATTTCTTGAAAGTTAATTTTAACTAATATTTGTTTGAATAATTAAATTTATCCATAAATGTTTTAATATAAAAAAAAGTAATAAATTACTCCATAAGTTAAAACTAATTTATATATAAATTAAAAAACATATTTTAGATAAACTAATATGGTAGGATTTATATTTTTTTTTGTAAAGATGAAAGAAGTTATGTAACTTATTTAACTTCAACTTTTGAAAAAAAAATATTTTATTTTTTCTTCTTATTTTTTTCTCCTATTTTATGAAAACTTTATGCAAACTTATCTTAATCTAATTTTAACTTATAAAAAAATTAATTTAATATATATTAGTTTGTAAGGTTTTGATTTTTCAACTCCTAATAACTTACAGTTGATGAGTTTTAAAGTTGCTAAACATTCTATTTCTTGTTATTTTCTTCTAACCAAGGGTTTATTGGGAAAAAAAATCATATGTTTAAAATAAAAATGTATAGCCAAATTAAACAAAAATAAATAGATAAATAAAACTTTCAGGGGTTAAATTAGGAAAAGTAACCATTCATAACTAGGGTAAAAAAAATGGTGGCTTACAAACTGAATTCCAGTGTCATTGAGAATTCCTATCCCAGCAGAAGCAAAATTGGCACCAACGAGTAGCCTCTCTCCATTTAGCTCAGGACTCAAATATGGCAATGTGGGTTCCGAGCCAATTCGCTCACCTACATGCACCACATTATTGACGCATAAGTATGTTGTATCATAACGAACAATAAATGTAGCTTAGGATAAATCACATTAAGAGTATATTCATATATATTAAAAGATTATGGAGTTGAAAGCTACTGAAACAAAGAATTAATTAATTGAGGACCCAACTGATAATGTCTGGAATATTGAGGCCATTGGAGAAACGACCAGTGGCTCTGTGAGTGGGATAGTCAATTCCATAAGGATACGAGTCGGCACGAGCAGTGGTGAGTAGGTAGTTATTGTTGCCATTGTCAACTAGCGAATCACCAAAAACAAAAAATGCTCGACCCTCAGCTTCTGGAACAACAACAACAAAGATAACCAAACATGCAAATATGCAACAATCAAAAACCCTTTGCTTCTTTTCGTCCATCTTAGTGTCTACTAAGGTAAATATGTAACCCTCACTAGATATATATCTGCCTATGAACAAGTAATGAGTTGGAGGACCTTTATATAGAACTCGTCACTGTATGATATTTGATGTGCCGAATTAAATAGCTTCTGCTACCACAAGCAGATGGAGATAACGCCCATAATTAAGAGAGGCCAATCAATACTATTTCGAATTCAATTCTATGTACCACACTTCATGTGCGTTTAATGCATCATGGCCGGCTTACAGCTAGACGTGCTTTTTCTAACTTTGAATTTTCATCGTTTTCTTATAATTAATTACCAACAAAGAATGAGATAAAAAGGGTGATTTGCAGGTCTTAATTCTTTAGGATAGGCTTTTGCTAAGCTTCAAAACACTTTGGTCGACCCTAGAATATTTAGATCTAAGATACTCTTCATTGGGATAAACATTCACCGAGAATTTCAAGCACATCTAATCAAATGTTGAGAGTAAATTATTTCAATCAAGCATATGTAAATCATTGTGTTAGTTAACTACCGGTTTAATCAAGACAAAATCTTAATGGTTAGACCTTGAGAACTATAAATATTTATAATAACTATAATTAGAAAGAGCCATGCTGGAATTTTTTAGAAAATACATTTAATGAATTCAAGATTTTAATACACCAAAAGGCAAATGTATAACTTTCTCTTAAGATTAAGAGGAGGTAATTTACGCTCTTTAAATATTTTAAACTTGAACTAGGTTTAGAGGAAGTCTTTCACACCGTAACACTTCAAAATTCATATAATATTTTTTATTTATTGCCTTTTACCTAAGTTTTTGTTTACCAACTATTTGAAAAAGGATGTCAATTAATTTTATTGGTAGTATGTGTGTGTGTATAACGGGTCAAAGTGCATAGTTGCCATTAAAGATATGTATAAGAAAGAGGAGGGGGGAATGGTACTTATGATTTGCATATCATGTAAACTTTCACGAGTTAAAAATGGAGTAAAACTGTAATCTACCACATTCAATCCTCTTCAATACTCTGTCTCTCTTGTTCCCAATTTTGCCAACCCAGTTAACCTGTATATGGATCTTAAAGGGGTCAATAAATAACAGTCCATGTGAGTCACGGGCCTTGTATCTCACCATAGATATATTAGAAGACTAATCCACCTAAGTGCAGGTTGGCAATTAATGGCCTTGTGCTCAAACAAGGATTAGGCCATAGGGCAAACTATGTAGAAGTGCCCCAAGTTATTATTAAACGACAAAAACAATACTTTCAAATATAAAACATTATAATTGTTATAGTTGTGGTCGTCCTCCTACATAATTATGACAACGGTTTGACATCGAGTATTCTGAGGGGATTGATTAAGAAAGATTTAGTATATCTTATTAAAAAATTTAAATAACTTAAAAATGAATTTTGAACGGTTTATGCGATTTTGATACAATTAATATGCTTTTAAAAATAAAATTTCCAAGTTTTATTTCCTTAACCATATGAGAATACCGAGCATTCACTAAAATGTATCCCATGGAACTAGTTAAAATTAACAAGCATACATGTGTAGATAATTATATGAAGCAGAACATAAGAACCGGTGGCAAAAGTGACATCAGCGAAATACTCGTAGCAAACTGCAACACACAAACAAATGGACCACAACAACAATAAATCGTAGTGGTAGTGCCAATGTCGTACAAGGAACTAGCTGAAACATAGCGCCATGACAGAACAAGGTTTGAAATCGCTGCAATATAATAAAACCCAAATTTAAATGCTTAAATGACAAATCATAGATTAGACAACAGTCAAAGCCCTATATTATAATTGTTTCATTATTCGATATCAAATAATTGATCATGTAATCATTAAAGGCGGTCTAGTTAGAGATTTGAAATAATAAGTTCATAACTTTAGGTCAGCTTTAATGTTATTATTATAATTTAATGAATAAAAACAAAATTGATTATATATGTTCTAGGAGTTGGGTTCAACCTAGTGTTTTTAGATTGATTTTTATTGATGTTAAAATAATATTTAATTAATAAAAATTATGTTTTACGAGTTTAAATTTATTTTTTCTATCAACTTTAAAATTTTGAATAAATTGTTTATTATTTTTTATCACTAATATTCTCAGTTTTATTGATGATAAATTAATCACAATTGTCAATAGATTTTCACAAGTTAAAAATCCAATAAGAAATTATCATTCTTCGTTAAATAGATATTCCAACAACTTACATGAGAAGATAATATTTTTTTTTCATTTTCTATACATACATATCTTAAAAATACTTTTTAAAATTAAAATAATAATAATAATCGTGTAGCTTTATTTTATAAAAGAGCATTTTTTTTTATATGAATATTGCTCTAAGGACGGGAAAGAAAGCATCGTGTTTTTTTTTTTTTATCAGCAAGAAATAAGCATCGTATTTGTCTATAATCAGATGTCGGTGTTTTGTGATAAAAACACAAATATGCATGTAGAGTAATGGATATTATTAGTTGGCACTGGTTCCTGATTGGTTGGTAGCCTTTCCTTGGAACCATTGTAGGGTGCAAAGAAAAAGACTTGGGTCATTAGGGAGTTGGAAAGAGCAGTCAGATGTTTGGG